GCTAAAATGTGAGCCCTTTGTGGCCCTTGCGCTCGGCCTTTTCAAAGCCGAGACGCTTCAAGTGATCCCGGAGCATCACCCCGGGCTGCACCTTCGTGACGAGGTCAGCATCGTTGATCGTGCCCTTCACCTTGTCCACCACCAGCAGCTTCTCGCAGACCCTCATCTGCAGCCAGAGATATCTGGCTTGCACACGCCGTGTGCGCCCAACTCTCCTCGGCGCTCAGACATCGCCTTTGCCGCACTGCTGTCTACCTTCAAGGTCAAAGGCTTGATCGCCCCCGTCCAAAACTCCGCCACGCCCCGCATGAACTCGCCCAGCGTGGCCATCCTGCACATCCCATAGTACTCCGCCTCCGAGGACGACAGGGCCACCACCTTCTGTCGTGCCCTTCACCATCAGCGTGCGCTCGCCGTTCTTCACCGCCCTCTTCAACTTGAGCCAATCATTCTCACTTGGCGATCTCATCTTCGATGTCAGGCTTCTCACTACGTGCCCCAAGTCCGGCCTGTCCTGGCTCAGGTACGCCATTCTCATCACCAGCGATCTGTACTCGCCCATCTGCTCCACACTCAGCTCCGCCGACTGGTCCACAATGACCATGTCCTTCGCCACCTGCTTCTCCTCGGGCATGTCCACGCCCTTCTTCTTGTCGTTGAACCCGAACGCCTTCGGCAAGATCTCCGCGTGCCTCGCGTCCGCCTCCACTTCCAGCTTCCATGCCGTTCCATCCGGCACATACCTGATGAGCCGATTCACCGTTGCCATGAAATCATCACCACGCACCAGCCCACACAGGTCCATGCCCTCGATCTTGAACAGGGCACAACGGGCTGAACTCAGCTCCTTTCTCGCACAGCCAATTCGAGTAGTCCTTCTGGAAGATGTGGCTGGCGTCTTGGGTTCCATAATTTGACCTCAGCAGACGCCCGCACATAGGCACCCCATTGTCCTCTTTTCGCGTCCGGTCCTCCTCCGGCAACTGAATGTAGATCTCCCACTCAACTCGCCCCATGAAATGGGCCCGGCTGATATCCCACACTCCAAGTTTCCTCTTTTTCTTCCCCGGCCTCTTCGTCATGAACAGGCTCAGGAGCAGCTGAACGCACTCGAGCGGCGGGGTCGCCACGAAGGTCTCCTCCACCCTCAACTGCTCCTCCGGCCGCTTCGCCTTCTTGACCTCCTTCGTCACCAGCCTGCTCCTTACTTTGACAGCTTGGCTGTCCCCTTTGCTCACGTCCAGCCACTTCAACTGCAGAGGTTTTGAAGCCTCTCTCTTGGCAGATGCACATTGGCACCCGAGGTCCAACGCCCCCAGCTCCTTTGCGATGCATCTTCTGCCCTAGTTCCTTTTCCGCCTCCATCGACCGAGCTCCTGCCGGGCCGGCCTCTTCTTCCTCTGCTTCGCGCAAGAGATCCTCTCTTGGGAGACTCACCTCCGCCGGGCCCTCTGCTCGAGCTCGATGGCTCTTGGACCGTCTCTCCTGTGCGGCATCTCCTCTGCTATCATCAATCTCAACCTCGGCCATTCGCTTTCCAGCTCTCTGCCTTTCCTCTCTCAGGTCCTCCTCTCGGGCCTTCTTCCTCACCTGTTCCTCTTTCTCCTCTTCATCAGCCTTCTTCTTGAAGATCCGCAACCGGCACTCCTCATTGTGCCTCACCTGCTGAAATGGCTTGCCCCGCACCAAGGATATGCACCCCTCGCAATGCGGGGTCTTGCCATACTTCTCCAGAATGGACTTGAGCAACGTCCGTGCCTTACCATGTCCTCCGTCCGGATCTTGCCCTCCAGGTCCTGGCGGGCTAGCCGCGGCCTCCTCCGCCACAGCCTCCGGCGCCCCTCCTCTGGGCCTGGGGAGCCCGCTCACGACCACCACCTGCTGGCCTTGGATCTGCTGTGGCTGCTGTTGCTCCTCCAACGGGTTGACATAGTGCTTCACGTCCCAAGGAACACCCCGTCAGCCACTTGTCTCCTTCCAACACTGCGGCCCTTTCCCGCCGGCTTCACCAGGATCCGTTCTCCGAACTCCGGCATCGGCTTCGTCCACTTCTTCCCGGTTCTCCTCTCCTCTGGCGTGCGCCCATCCGCACCAACCTTGAACCGGTTCATCTGCTGAGCCGCAAACCTCGGCGATCAGAGTTCCGACTTCGCTCTCCCACCGAGGTCGGAATTCCGACTTCGCTCTCCCACCGAGGTCGGAATTCCGACTTCGCTTTTTTGCCCGAAAAACCCATCACCGGGCCAGCGCCGAAGGTCCGTCAGCGATGCGATCCTCGCAACATCGCTGACGGAGTGTTTTTTCACCATTGCTCGCTTTGCCATCAATCCTGCGTTGGGCACAGGATTGCCCCACTCAATCCTGGCCCTCGTCAATCCTGCGCTGGCAACAGGATTGCCCCCTTCAATCCTGCGCTGGCAACAGGATTGCCCCCTTCAATCCTGCGCTGGACTCCGTTCGCCTTGGAATCCCCCGCCGGTGACTCCTCCGGAGCCGCCTT